ATTTCTAACTAGACCTATTAGTAATTTATAAATTTATCTTTATCAAAAATTAAGTAGTTCCTTGTTGGATTGATATACGGACTCATAATCCATAGACTGATTAATATGTATATTTGTGTGATTGATGTTTGCATCACTACATTATAAACCCTTCCCACTTCATCCCGCATCACTTTGTTTTCAATATTAGCTATGGAGCCAAAGAGTAGGGGCGTATTCCTTGGCAGATGAGAATTCTAATACATGAAACATACACAAAACTAAGTGAAAAAATTGCAACAATGAAAAAAATATTTAGAAGATAAATGGCATAAACTTAGTATATGTCATGCAATTTTCGTGGTTTGATCTTAATAGTTATCAATCGAATTTATTAAAAGATGAGTTGATGCTTAAGTGTGATAGTTCTATCTATCTTAGATCCATTATTTACGAAAAAGTGGATAAAATGAGAATATAACCTTTGTAGTTAGACTTCATAATTAAAATGGAGAAATCGACAGAGGTTATTATATGAAAAGTCAATATCATGGATAATTAAAGATAAAGTTTATAAATTATAATTAGGTTGGTGATGATGTTGTGGGGTATATAAAATAGAATGAGAGAATTCACACTAGAAAATAGTAACGCAGCGGAACACACAGATTTATATGGTTCGATAAATTGTCTATGTCCACAAAGTTGCAGAGGATTTTACTACTTGAAGAATTTACATCAGTCGATTTTCTCGACTTACAGGAGAAAGTCCATCGCTTCCTCACTCTCTCTTCTTCTCTCTCTACACCGAGATACACACCGAAGAAGATGAAAAATGTATAAGAGAAAAAAAAACTCAATTTCTCTTTTGCCACAAGCCACCAAGACGAAACCAAGGGAGAGCAATTTTCTTATTCTTCTTTCTTTTTCCTTCTGTCGCAAAGAACTACTGCTTGCACTTCTCTTCCTCTGTCCCGTGGAAGCAGAACTGCCGAAGAAGAACAACAAAAGGGGGTCGTGCCAAATCTGAAGGAGAGCTGCTCCTTCTATCGTGAAACAGCAGAGAGTGAAGGGATGCTTCGCTTCGCAGCAGAGGAAGACAGGAACGGTTGGCACTATACACGAATCGACGCCAGGCGGGAGCGTGTCGCGACTGTTCGCGATAGGGAGTGGGAACTGGTGGACGGGAGCATGAAATAGGTCTTCACATTTAACAAATCTCTCACTTAGAGACCAATACACATGCAACAAGATCTCCTTCCTTAAACTGATATCCTCCACTGGCGGTGTCGTCATTTTCTTCAAACATGAATCATCCACCTCTGCAACTCAAAGCCTCTGTCTTCAAACCAAAAGACCAACTAAAGTTGCGAACAAATTCAGTTTCTCAAGAGAAACACTCTTAGTCAACATATGTAAACATAGTCTTGCACCTCCAAGCTATTTTCTGGGTTACCTATGTATCTGCTTGCAACTATTGCATGGGTAATATCATGTCTCTGCTGAAAGCCTTTTTTAACAACTCTAGTCTTGTACCTCTTACTGTCATTAAGCTCAGTCTTCATCTGATACACTCACTTGTTGTGTAATGTTTTCTTCCCTGATGAAGGTTCTGTCGGCTCTCACTTGATCGAATTTTCATTTTACAAGATTTCTTCATAGTTATGTGGTTCTCCACAATCTGTTTGTGGAACAATAGAAATAGGTGCCCCGGATCCACTATCTACCACATTCAACGCTTCTTCATTTGTCAGATATATTTTTTCAAAGTCACCTGCAACATAATTTCGCATCAATTCCCGATGGAATGTTGTATGGAAAGAAACCTCTTAATCAAATATTCAGTTATCAACAGAACTATGAACTGTCAGCAGTAGTGCATCTTGTACTTTTTTAGATACCACATTTGCGTTATCATTTTTCTTCTTCTTAGGATTCCTGCAGTTCATTTTTATGTGGTTAACTTTGCCACAATTCTAGCAGGTTATTTGTTGACCAGACTTTGATTTTAATCTCTTTCTATTTGAGTTTTTGTCATGTGATCTTCCTCTGCAATTAACATTCAGTGCTGAACTCGTACCTGAGATCTCGTCAGAACCTTTTTTGTGCACCTCTCAGCAAAAATCAAATCATGAATATCATCATATTTCAATCTAGATTTATCTGCAGAACTGTTAATTACCATTCTCAAGGCTTCCCAACTATTTGACAATAATGCCAACAATGTCAACGCACGTATCTCATCATCAAAATCAATTTCAACAGACGAAGATTAATTTGTAATAGTATTGAAATCATTCAGGTGTTGAGCAACAGAAACAAATTCAGTCATCTTCAAGTTGAATAACTTCTTCATCAAGTACACATTGTTATTCATCGATGGTTTTTCATACATACCTGATAAGGCTGTCATGAGATCTGCAGTCGTCCTCTCCTTGACGACATTGTATGCAACGGACCTCGACATATTCAATTGAATAACCCCCAGAACCTATCATTCCAATAAATTTCATTTAATCTCATCCACCATTTCAGGTTAATTCCCTAAAAACGAAAGATGAAGTTTCTTCTCATCGAGGTAGTCCTCTATCTGTATCCTCCAGCAACCAAAATATGTGCCACCAAATTTCTCGATCACTGAAACATTTATTTCATCTGCAGTCATCGTCTTCCTCAGTTCCGAAACAATGGGCTCTGATACAAGTTATTGTGGTATATAGAAAAGACACCAATCGACGACGAAGTGAAAAATAGAACGAGAAAATTCACACAATAAAACAGTAACACAGCGGAACACACAGATTTACGTGGTTCGACAATTTTTTTACGCCCACGGAGTTGCAGAAGATTTTACTAGAGAAATTTACACCAATCGATCGTCTCGACTTACAGAAGAAAGTCTCTCACTTCCTCGCTCTCTCTTCTTCTCTCTCTACACTGAGATACACACCGAAGAAGATGAAAAACGTACAAGAGAAATAAACTCAATTTCTCTTCTGCCACAAACCACCAAGAAGAAGTCAAGGGAGAGCAATATTCTTCTTCTTCTTTTTTCTCCCTTTTGTCGCAAGAAACTACTGTTTGCACTTATCTTCCTCTGTCCCGTGGAAGCAGAACTATCGAAGAAGAATACCAAAAGGGGGTCGTGCCAAATCCGAAGGAGAGTTGCTCCTTTTATCGCGAAACAGCAGAGAGCGAAGGGATGCTTCGTTTCGCGGCAGAGGAAGGCGAGAGCGATTGGTGTTGTTCGTGAATTGACGCCATGCAAGAGCGGGTCGCGACTGGCCGCGATCGAGAGCATGAATAGGCGGACGAGAGCGAGAAATAGGACTCCACATTTAACAGATGATGCATGAATTCAAATGTTGACAAATAAAAAAAGTAGTCAACGTACAAATTAAATTTAGGATTGTTTGAGGCAGCTGCAGCTTATTGAATAATTTGCTGATAAGCTGATTAAAAATAATCTGCTGGTAAGCTAGGTGCGATGACTATTACAAATTTTTATTTTTTTGGAAAAGTCAGACCGCTGTCAGAAAGTTCTCAGCGCACCTAGATAAGTGCGGTGTGAAAACGTTGTTTTGGCATTTTGAAAACGCATAAGCTGTCAAAACGCAGTTTACCCAAACAGGTCAGGTGTGTTTTCGAAACGCCACCACACCAAATAAGCTGCCCCAAACGTACCCTTAGAAAAATGAGAATAATAAGACGGATAAAATAAAACTAGAAAGAATAAATTAAATAAAGACTATATTAGAAGAATAGTTTGAGTGACATCTATGGAGAAAAATGATAAAAAATGCACTATTTGACTATCTAGTGTTGGAGAATTAATGTGAGAAGATTATATAGAAAAAGGCGGAGGCCTACGATAATATTGATAAAGTTTAAAATAATTTGTGAATAACATGTTTAACATGCCAGACATCAATCAGTAAGAAAAAACAAAAAAAGTGCAGATTCATAAACCAACAAAATAGTTCAGATAAAAAAAAGTGATGATGAAACGGCAAAAGGAACCCAAGAAACACAATAAAGTAGTATAGTGCTGTCAACAAAAGTAGGAAGGAAACAACATCTGGTTTTTTGAAAATACCCAATCATTAATCATTTTCAAGTATGATCTGGCATCTTGAGAATGAATACTAAAATTAGCAGACATCCACAGGATATGCTTTACCTTCCAAGCCAGTAAATTGTTTTAAAATTGTTGGTGTGACCTCTCTTGTTCCATCTAGAACTGCAGAGCAAAAAAAAAAACATGAAATTCAACAGTATTAGAAAAAAACTCAGTGAAGGAGCTGTCCGAGCTATATATAGAACCATTGGTAACATGGAAAAATACTGCAAATATCAACAGCATTATATGTCCATAATGAGAAATCATACAATCTAGGCATCCATGAGTAATAGATAACAAGTACAAGTATATATTGTATATTCTTAAGGACTTTAAATTTAATTAATAGAAAGATTAGCAAACATACCACTTAATTCTTAAGTATTTAGACATCTAACATCTATAACTTCACTTTTTACCAACATACCACTTAAGCTATGTATGACATGTTGTATTTCGCTTTTAGAGATTAAAATGGCGGTATTTTTATGTGATATGAAAATGTTGGGTGGTACAGAAGTAAAAAGTAAATTTTACGTGTTAGATATGTAAATACATAGGACCTGGGTCGTATGTATGTAAATGCCCGAATAATAATGCTTTCATTCTGTTCCAATGCAAGTGAATTTGGACAAGAATAAAAAGAGATACCAAAAACACATGACCCCATAACAAGGACACTCATATAGGTTGTGAAGTCATTTCTCACAGCAGAAAATATCAAATTTGGTAATTACATTCTCTGACATTATCCTTTCTCTGACAAAGGAGAGACTAACTTAGCAATATGCTTAATTTTCATAAAGTTGAATGAATTTGGTTTGACTTTCACGACAGTTTAGTAAAATGTTTTCTATGCAATAGTAAATAGAGTATTGAAAAGATTTACTATTGAGTTTACCATTAAAATGCCTTCCATGAGATAACGCAAAAAAAGCACAGAGTGCCCAAATTGGGCAAAGCTTGCAACTTTAGTAAAAAAGGTTTCACACATTACCGGTGAAGGGTTATGAAGCCATTTAGAAACCCGACTGAACAGAGCCCCACTTATATCATGAAGATTCTAATTGCGAGTTGGCCGTAAATCTAGCAGAATGAGGTTGATGTTGCACCATTCAAAAGTTCAACAGCAGATCAAGCACAATCAATCAACTTGAATGACCGTCTAAGACGGCAACAGGGTAGTAATTATTGGTGATAGGTGCAGTTGCAATAGCCTATAAGGATATTAACCTAAGTTCAAGCAATTTTTCCCCAAGTAGCTAAAGAATCAAATTAACTTGGCGCAATATTGATTGCACATAGAAGCAAAGCAAAAGAAGTGTGCATGTCAGGAGAAATGTATATAGAGAACTAAGCTAGGGTTTTGATGTTGGCAAAGCTGTAGACTTCCATAAGAAGAGAGACAAAGGGTTGATTCATCACACTACGAAGGGCTCTTTTTGAGTTATGAAGCATTTTGGCAAGGTCTCCTACTAGAACAAGCTCTAGATAAAGGTCAAACTTCATCTAATGCTCCACATGAGTATGCTTAAGCCCTTCCACACTAACAAGAATAATCAAAGTTTAAAGTAGTCTCAACATAGATCACTTCATAAGAAAATTTAGTATGATCACGAGGTGAAGTGAATCTTGGTAGATTGACTCTCACAAAGGACTTCTACTCCAAAGCACAAGTACTTAGTTTGATGGAAGCGGGTTACCCAATAATGAGGCAAGTCAAGAGAATGAGGAAGCTCAATGGAAATTCGAAATAAAATAGATGATTTCCATAGAGATTTGGGATGAGAGCATTATCGGGATAGGAAGGGGAGAATATCACGAATGGCAGACTTAAGTAGTGCCAAAGAGCATTCTAAGTTCTCACATTAGTTAGAAATAAAATAAAGAATCCCAAATGACTAAGTTTGATCACTCACTCTGCTCGGGGAAAAATATATACATTATAAGTCAACATGAGTTTACGTTATCTCCACAGCTTTGAAAAATGCTTTAGAAGGTTCGGGAAGATTCTGAACAAATGTATGGACTATTATGAAGTGTGGAAGTATCTATAGTATTTTCGATTCTCATAGAGAATTAAAAGTTATTTATTTGGTGTGCATATTTATAGTGTATGTTCACATAAAGAAAGTCAATTAGTCCAGTTGACAACTAGTTGTTTTCATTTGTGTGAGGTTGTGGGTTTGAATCTCTTGGATTTCAAAAAAATTGAAATATTTTTGTTGCAGAGGGAACGGTGTCGGTGTCGGCAGAGGTAAGAGCTGGCTGTCGGAGGTGGCCAGAGTTGTAGAGGCGTCGATGACCGGAGGACGAGTCATGTTGTGCTAATGGTCGGAGATTGTGGAGACCAATGGCTGGAGGTGGAGGCTAGCGAGCAGAGGTGGCTGACGGTAACTACTGAAGTTAGCTAAAGGTGGTAGATGTTGAAGTTGGTCGGCAATCAGAGGGTGGCGGTGAGAGGGTGGCGGCTGCTGGAGTTAGCAAGAGGTGGCGGCAACCAAAGCTTGACGCGACGATCAGAGGTAGTCAGCGATGGCCACCAAAGTTGGTCAGAGGTGGCAGTGGACGGAGCCCAAGCTAACGAAATAGCCTACTGTGGCTATTGGAGGCGACACTCGATGGTGAACAGTGGCCATGGCTTGCAGGGATGTGAATTGCAGGGATGCGAAATGCAGAGGCTGTCGGCTGTTGCGGCAGACAGTAGTGATCGGAGGACATGGATCTGAATGTCAAGTGTTCTGTGGTCAACGCTCGAAGCTGCTCGTAAATAGCAGCTTCTACATTGCTCTAAGTTTCTCTGGACCATAATTATTTTCCCATCGCCCGGGAACTTTATCGTCACATGGTAGGTAGAAGTTACCACCCGATAGTTTCAGGAGTGGCCCGGCGAAGATAGCATTGTAGGTTGGCGGAGATTCAACTACGAGAAAATCCTCCGTACTGTTGTACTGCTTCTCGGGTTCTCCCCAAAAGATGGAGAGGGCGACAAGGCTCAACGCCTCCTTCCTTTCCACAGAAAATCTGAATAGCAGGTTGGTCGGTGCTATCAACCAGTCGGTCTTCAAGCCGATCTTATTAAACACCGTCTTGAACAGGATGCCCACCGCACTCCCAGTATCAACGAGGATACTACCCACATGATAGTTGTTGATCTGTGTTGTGACAACGATTGTCTCGTTATAGGGATTCTCCTTCGGCGGGAGATCTGTGTCTATAAGGGATAATGGGTAAATGATTACGTGTCTATGAGATGATAGAGCATACCTCAACGGAACATTGTTGGTTCAGGTCAGAGGGTCTGTCCCCCACCCTCCCCGAAGATGGTTGGGATTATTCCTGCCACACGGACCTAATTTACTCGAATAAGTCCGTTTGGGGGCTCTACTATTGGAGCCTTGCCCTGTCGGTGCACAATTGTGTTGACTGCTACAAACTATTTGAACTTCTCGGCGCGAATGAGCTCCTCGATCAAGTTCCAGATGTAACGGAATTCCTCCTTGTCATGGTCGTGGTCGTTGTGGTACTGACAGCAGCTCTTCGAGTCCTGCAAAGCTGGGGGCGCTTATAGTGGTTGTACCAGTTTAAAGTAGTCCTTGTTTTGGATGACATGAACTATTTCAATCATTCACACATTGAGGGGTGGTGTTAGGACATGCATTTCTCATAATATCGGGCCGATCACGGGTCAGAGTGTCGCTTCGGATCATAGTGCCCCCAATTACTTACCCACTGATCCCGGGACTAAGGATCACGGCTCACTGCTTGGGTGATTATTGGAGGACTGGCTGTCCCCTGCCCTTTGTGATTCACCCTTATCCTTCCATTTTTTTTCAGGGGAATTTGGACGATCCTGGCTTATCCTCCGGAGAGTCCTAGTGATCTTCCTCAACGAGTATGTGCTCGTTTGTCATTTTTAGCACTTCTGCAAAAGTGACAAGTTTAAATCATACATAAACCTCTTACTTCAGATCCCTTGTTTCAGGGTTGTTCCGGCTATTTAGCTTTAGATTTCTCACTTCTAACATCTCATTCTAGAAAAGAATGATGTAGGCCCGAAGGCTCTCATTTTCTCCTTGTTTAACGTCAAACAAGGTGTCTGAGTCCTTACTTGGTTTTTGCACGTTTGAGAAGTGCAAAATGAAGAGCTTTTTAAACTTGTAGTAACTCGAGATGGTTTCGGCAGACCATTAAACCATGAGAGGGCCGACTCCTACAGAGTGGTTAACTAGACCGACCAATGACTCAAAAAACGCTACATGGTCAATCAAGTCGGACCCTCAACTTGGGCGGGTTTTGGATACGCGGTTTCATGCTCGGCCTTGAATCGTCGGTTAATTGTTTACTTTAAGAGGAGGTTCTTTCATCTTGGTTGATCTTTCTCTTTGAGATTTATGCTGGCATTTTCAGTGTGTACAGAATCCGAAAAACTGTTTGGATACGGATTTACTAAATCCTGTAAATATAGCATAACTATTTGGCAAGTAAGTAGAGCAAATTGAATAGCTCTTCCTCCAAATCCCGTAAATCCACCGATTCTTAGGATTTAGTAAATCTGGGATTAGATTTAGTAAATCTGGGATTAGGGCCTAACTGTGAAATTTGGATTTATCAAATCCCCGGCTTTATTTTGTCCAAAATGACCGTCTGGCAAAATTTAGCCTACATACAGGTTAAATTCTGCTCTAAATCCGTTGCCAGACTGATAACTAGAGCATTGGTATCCCTTCCGTCTTTCAAGCAAATGATGGATCAAACAAACTTCACTGTTTTCAAATCATGTTTCCTAACTTCAATCAACCAAATCAGCACTTGAATGAATAAAAAATAGCAAACCGCGAGCCATTCAGCATACAAAGCAAAAGGCTAAAAAATCAACATCAAAAAACAAATCAAACCCTCTTGAATGTTTCTAAGCCACTTCCCCGTTACGTGAATAATACCGAGAACAAGAAAAGGAGGTTTAAATTTACCAATATTTCTGCATTTTCCGAAGTTCTCCAGCAACCCACGACCTTTCAAAAACTCATAAGCGCTTCCAACCAACCTCATATCATCTGCATTGAGACAAGTGTCCAACACTTCCCAGTCCTTCTCCAGCATGGGGAGGTCCAGCATATAAGACGCGGAAGGTTTCGCGGGTGCATAAGGAGTAGAAGAGGTAGGTGCACTGGATTGAATAGGATTGCGAATGGTATTCATCGTTTTCAAAAACTGTAGGGCTCGAGCGAGGTCCTTCTCCCTCACGGCATCCTCATACTCGCGCCATTCTCGAATAGCTCTTAAGACGAGAAACCGGGATGTTTTAGCTGGAATACATCGAATTGGGATCGATAGTAGATTTGGTTTTGCGATTTTGAAGACGGGGAACGGGAGGCTTGCAGAAGTGGAGGCGCAGGAAAGCGAGGAAGACATGGAGGTGCAGAGGTGAAAGAAACGAAGTGTAGTATCGGCCTCTTTCTCCCGACTCGCTGTTGTTATTATTATTACTATTTTTATTTTATTTTAAATAATATATTTTAATTTCTAAAATGAGATAAAATAACTCATGCAACACAATGCTCACCACACTCGGTCCAAAAAATAGGTAAATATGACAAATATAGGAAAAATTATTTCATATGGATGCGTGCGGTGTCCGATCCTGACCGTAAATCATGCGATTGGTCATGATGTATTTCGGTGGGCTCACTTAAATTAAAAAAAATTGAAATAATCCTGTCAGGATCCCTGAGATGCATGCGGTGTCCGTATGCAATAATTTCTCCAAATATAGAGTGTTGGATTTTTGACATTTGGGTTCATTCAATGTTTACCCTCGAGATTTATCTGTTGTATCAAGGTTATGTTTCATCATTTTGCCTCTTTTCTTGCTTTTTTTATTTTTGTTTGATGGCATTTCTTCATTATAAGGTCCCACATGTTTGTTTGTCTCCTAGCTTAATGACTAGGAAGAAACTTTGAGGCTTGTATGAATCAAAATACAGCATAGGGCAGTTGTGTGTGATAAGATAATTGTTTTTTTTTTAAAGTAAATCTGATAATATGCTTATAAATGCGAGATACTTATTTTCTTCTCTTTTTTTAATAGTTTTTTTTCCAACTTTTTTTTTTAGATACTAATATTAAAAGTAGAATAGATAAGTTAAAAAATTGAGGAAGTATTGAAAGTAAACTTACCAAAGTATAGAGGCAGTGGTTGCCGACAAAAAATTTATTTGACCGTCCAAACTATTTCACCGTTATCTCAATAAAACCAGTACAATTTAGTATTAAGAACAAAATTAAATAGAACATAAATTCATATAGTAGCATTTGATCCATTAATCCATATATCCAAACATATTTGCAAAATGACATGTAGTGTTTGAAGCATACAAATAAATCGAACATATACAAGGATGCGTAGCACCCAAATGATGCAACAGGTAATTCGAAACACATATGTACTGCAGAAAGTGTAAATGCAACTGATTTTCAACAAGGAATTCCAAAGCGAGTTTTATACAATACAGGATCAATACAGTATTTTGAACCTCATTTTTTTAATCACTTTTTTTAAAAATAACTATTTGCTAACATAATAAAAGATTGCTTCAGAAAAGAATAAAATAGAGGAGTTGAAGTTGTAATATTTGCTTAAAATCAAACTCTCCAACTAGCAACTAGCAGATATCCCCCAAAAAATATATATCGCAAGCATGTATTTTAATAACAGATTTGATGAGAAGATATGTCATACTATATACGTATTCACATTTCCCCCAAGCAAGCTAACCGAGCCAACAAACAGGAAAACACATGCTTACAGAACCTGCCACTATCAATTAATTACCAGAGCCTAAAAAAATGGACGCTTGAATAAAGCAAATAGGAAAACACATGCTTACCGAACCTGTAAGGATTTGTATTTAACAAATAATTAGATGCACCATCAAACGAATAAAGCATATGAAGGCTTCAATACATCATTCATATAACTCTCAGGGGCACATGACTATAGCATCTATATAATTGCAATTCTAAAACTAGACTTGCATTTACCTTAACATAATATCAATGCAGCAAATCAGACTTGCATTCACCTTAAAAATTGCGCTGTCATCATAAACACGAAGAGCAACAAACCCCCCTCAGCATTAAAATAAAAATTAGATATTACAATGCAGCAAAAGCCCCATCAACTCACATAAACACCCATAAAACACACACTCCACAAGCTCAAAATGGATCAAAATATCATTATTAGGATATTTTGTTGCAACATTTTCGCCAAGCAACTGAAAAGATAAAAGAAATAGTGAGTCTTTCAAGTTCTTTCCCAGATCACAAAAGATTATAAAAATAAGTTATGATTTGTAAACATAAAGGGGGAGTAAGCACATAAGCAATGTAATAAAAAGTCTCATATAAGCATAAAATTTCAAATAATCTCCTCATATATAACTGTATGTGACCATCAAAGTTGCTTCAAAGAGATGCACCATGCATCCAACAAATTTTGTTACCAACAAATTTGATTCCAAATAAATTATGTTACCAACAAATTATTCTCGATACTCGAATGAAATACAGAAGGCAGTGGTTGCCGCGAAAAAGGGTCATCCAAGCTGCTTCAAATAGAGACACCTTCCAACCAGTTTCGATAACGAAATATGAAAAAACCCAACAACAGTTAATATGACAGCCATATATAGTGACTTTCTAAACATATAATGTATCATGTGATGCTTGTGGTCGAAGAAAAAACTGCACTCCTTTCAAATCCATGAAATTAATAATAACTAATACATAAAATGCTACAGCTCCTTTCACATGTATCACTCATTTCTTCTTAAATATAACTTCATTGTCATTTTTCAAAAGAAAAATACAGCTATATGTTGAAAGGAAATCTCAAATATTAGATATGTAAATACTATATGGTATGCAGGACATTATATACATGAATTGTTCATAGGAAATAACAATGGTAATGTTTCAAAAAAAGCTCTGTAACATTACATTTCAGAGGAAGGAGGTAATATGCATAAAATAATTGAAATTAAACAGTGTGCCAATGGTTTCTAAAGCATAAAATATCTAGCAACTGGGATGTTCAAACTCACGAACTCCTTAATAATTATCATTGTTAACATGCCTAAAAAGATAAAAATTCCCACAATCTAAATTCCATATAAATGAAAACATAAAAAAAATCACGATTGACTGATATCATTTGCTATTTGTTCTCGTAATGTCGCCATCTCGGATGCAC